AAGCTTAATAATATCCAAAATTTGAACAGTTTATTGAGGTAAGTTATTTCAGGCTATTTACCACTAAACAACCAATGCTGAGATTTTATCAGTGATTTGTATAACTCACTAAAATTACATTTAGACATAAGATTATCATTGAAATATGAATTTTAACTTACAAAAACCATAAGACTAGGAATTTAGAACACTTTTGCATTTAATTTTTAATTTAATTTAGATATTAGATATCTTCTTTTTCCTTTTTTTTCTGTGAGTGGTTCTAATTATACTTGGTTTCTTTAGTAAAATATATGTTTTATATATCTATACATATATTATAATTTGTTATTTAAAAATGGCTCTATTATGTGTTTATATCTAAATGACATCGTTACTAATTGTGATATTGAGCCGATCTCTTCCTCTTCCTTTTGCTGAATCACATTGAATTATCAATGCACAAGGAATTCTTAAAGTAGATATGAGTTGAATTTTAAATGTAATATCAGTGATCAGTCTTACAGAACCCAATTAACATAGTCAACACCCACTCATAGAAGACGTAAGTTCATGACTGTCACCTCTAAAAATACTATTTTTTTTCATTTTAATTGCCCTAAACCTAAAGAAGATTACTTTTTATATCCAAGTCCAGCTTTTCCTAAATCTGACAGCTCCTCCCCCAAGCTTTTTTGTTCATTATTTTTTTTCAGGTAATTGGGAAGTGGCCATCCTTGGTGAACTAGAAGGTTTCAGGATGTGTAGTTCTCATAATGCAAAGAGTATATGGTGCATTCATTTACACATACAAGAGAAAAACGAAAGCCAAAACTGAAAGTAAAATGGACATAATTTTAATGATTTTTTTTCAATTTTGTGCATTGGATTCAAACAGCAAACTGTGTGCACTCAACTGTTATCACAAGAGGTCTGTGTCTTTTACCATTTTACACACAATTGTCCATTACAGTATGTTGTCAGCCTCGGAAACCAGGGGTGTGGCATGGTAAGCAGTGGTGGTAGTGCACCTAGCTTTTATATTATCTAACTTGAAAATATTTCTCTTCTATGATTCCTTTTTTCTTGATAAAAATAGTTTTCACCAAACGTTGGTGGTGCACACGCACTACCATTCATGCTTGACATCACACCCCTGACAGGAACACATGTTCTTATTTTGTTGATAAAAAGTATTACAAAAATTTCCATACAAAAACTATTTTCATAGAAATCTTGCATTTCCACAAATAAACCTGAACATTTTTTTGAAAAAAAACTGCTCAAGAATTTTGTTCATTTAACATTGTGACTGTACTGATAAATGCAGTCCACTTCTAAGTTCTCTCACATACTTTTCTATAGATGACCAGTCCCCTTTTGCCTGTCACCGAGATCTGCCCAGGCTCCATCAGGTTCATTTATAGCAAGAACGGGAGTTTGAATTGACATATCTGAATGTTAGAATGAAAGCTTCAGTCTTCCACATAACTAGCAACACTCAGCCCTCTTTTTACAGCTTAAGACAAAGATTGCAAAATATCATCCTTTTAACTCAGAATCACTGAACCAACTCTTGCTTTTTTTATTTGTGACATGGAAATAGAGAAAGCGTGTTGGAGGAGTAAGTAGGGATCTGGTAGAGTTGCATGTTCAATCTCCTGCCTCAGTGAATTTAAGAAAAACATTATTGCCTTGGTAATTGACATTTCTATCTCAATCAGTGACACAGACTGTCAAAGAAAGAAAAGAAAAGAAAGAAAATAACTGATGAAGATTTGCTTTATATTCCACTTGCCATGGAATTCAGATTTGTTTTGCATTACATCTGTTTCACATTCTATAAACACATATTGTCTATTCAGACGACAATTATACTGAGTAGTTGGGGGCTAGTAACATCATCACCTCTATTATCTGGGTGTTCAGAAGACTGTACTGTTTCTTGTAACACTACAGTTTTTGCTGATTCCAAGTATTTTTATTCTTAATGACTTTTTTACTGGTTACCCTGTTGAGCATTGATATTCCATCTCCTGGCAACAGTTGGGCTTCAAAAGGAACCTGTAATTTCTCACTGGACTGCATTTGAAACCAGCCACAAAATGCGCATGTAACATTCTCTCAGAAGAAGGGAGGAACCCATGATAAACAGTGTAACCCCGTGTAATTTAGTTGATCCATGATGCTTGTAAATCAAGTCTGATCATTGAAACTGCTTAGATCACAAGAGTCTCTAGTTCATAGACACAGCGGCATGAGGTAACTCATTTTATTTTGCACAGGTTGCATATTTCCACAGGAAACATTCTCGCTAAATTGTTTGGAAAAAAGACGACAGTTTGTGCTTGGGTGTTTGGCCTCCCAGCTTTATGCCATGGTTTCTTTACCTGGCAACCTTCTGTCGTTAAATGTGTGCATGTTGATAACTTCTTCTGTTTTCACAATAACGGGGGCCTGTGGCTTATGTTTTAATCGACGCTGGCACTTCAGGGACATCCTCAGTTCTTCTACCATGGCACTACAGAAGGACCTCTGCAGAATAACACAGAAAAATTGAATATTACCAAACAGATCAACTGCAACTGTCCAGAATCAATATTAAAATCAGGCTCAACAGACTTGTCAAAATAGCATCCTTGAAGGTTTAAAAAATTTCATTATAAAGATTATAACAAATTGCTACAAATTTTAATACACAGCACATGATAAGTAAAATATTTTGTCAAAGTGGGCTAGTTAAAAGAAAATCTCCACTTGATACTGAAATGAACTGCCAACTAGTAATGTGTATCTTACATGTATATATTGAATAAGATTTGCTGATGACATTATGTAAAATTGATTAGAATGGAATAGAAACCTACTTTAACATGAAAATATAAACATATACAAGTCTATACCAGAAATCCATTCTTGAAATGTAAAAAAAGAAGAAATATACTACTTTCCAGGTCACAACATGACATATACAAACTTTCTTTAAACATTGATTCTTCATTGTGCATCTCAAAACAAAAATAGCACTCGCACAGCAAGACATAAAAATATGGAAGACATATTTTCTGCTATTTCATTATATCATTTTTGTGATTATGCCTATAAAACATTGACGGTGATTAGAAACAAATATGACTTAATCATGAAATGACAAATTATAGCATGTTAAACATCTATGAACAAATACTAACTTTTTTGACATTAGCTTGATAACTGAGAGCTGATAAGTAATATATTCCGTGAGGAAAAAAAATGACCATATAAATATTTTTTCTTAATTCGCATGTCATTGGAAATAGATTTGAAAGAAATTTTGTATATCACAGGCTCATTATCACAGCTTCTCAAAATTCATGTTACAGAATCATATATATGAAATAAAATTTTCTTAGCCTCTGTCCCAGCCTGACTGAGATACATGTGTGTTAGTTCCATATAAATCAGATTCATGAACCAACTGCATATTGTAGTTGAAACTCAGAGGACTGATACTTGGGCTCTTTCTATGCAAGAAGCAAAACTATAGACAAAAAATGTGGACAAGTATAAAAAATTTACACAATTCTGTAACGTAATATGAAAACATAATGAAATAAACCTAATCATATATGCATGTGAAGACTTATTTGTATTTTAGTTGCTTTATTGATTATCAACTTAGGCTAATTGCAAAAGAATACAGGATAAAATAATTAATATCATGTAAGTGTCTTACTGTTTTGGGTACATATTTACAGTTGCATAGGAGGAAAATGTTCAAGAGATCTATTCTACAGCATGATGACTATAATTAATGATGACATATTGTATTCTTAATAATTACTGAGAGTGAATGTTAATAGTCACTACAAAAAAGATAACTATGTGAAGTATAGCATTTGTTAATTAGCTAGATTTAACCATTTCCATAATGTATATATGCTTCAAAACATCATGTTGTTTATGAAAAATACATGTAATTTTATATGTCAATTTGAAAAAATACTTTGCGTGGTAAATCTTTTGTGACACTAAAATTAATACTTTGAATTAATGAGGCATCTATGTGTCAGAGAAGCTGATTCAGAAAGAGGGTAATTGACTCTCTGCAGCTCATATCTGTGACTCAGCAGGATATCCTGATACCCAGTTTTGGGAATTTGACATGGTTCTACTACATTCCTGTCCATCTGTAGCTCTATCCTCATTTCTCTTTGATGGGTTCCTTACAACCTTTCCATAGTGGTCTTCCTAACTCTAAGTCTACCCATTCTCCCTGAAGGCTCACAATTACCAGGATGATAGGATAATCTATTTTTAAGAACATCAATTATTAATAGCATTTTCTTTTCTAGGAAATAGGTCAAATCCAAATCTCCTATTTTTTCCATCATGACTTATCTGATTCAGGCCTCTCCCCCTCTCCCTACCTTCATCTTTCCCACACTCGCCCCCCACTTTCTCTACACATCCATTATTGCTTGGACCGCCATGACTTTTCTGCTTTGCCACTCCTTGCTCTGGTACTCTGCTGAGTTCTTTCATCCTTCGCATCAACCCAACTTTATCCTTTACATCACAGGACATGACACATTTTAACTTAATTAGGAAGTCCTTTCCAATTTACCAGGCACTTGACTTTGTTGTATCCTCTCAGTATTTTGCCCTCATTATCCTGTGTTTCTGTCTGGCCTCTAGTCTTCTAGGTATGACTCTCATTGAATTGTGAAGAGCAGAGATCAGGTTCTCGTGGTAGTGCTTCTATATACGAGCTCTTTAAGCGTTGACTGAATTAACAACAATAGCTACATATAACCCTAATATTTTAATTCTTACTTAACAATTTTCATACTTCAATTACTAAAAAATGGTTTTCAGATGTAAAAACTTAGAAATATATATTGCTACAAGTTATCCAATTAAATTAGGCAAAACTTTAGCATTTGTTTAAAAACATTAAATTAGTAAAAATATTAATTTATTAGCATTCGTAATGGATGATGATTAAATGCTGCTCATGAATTCCCCATTAACTACAGAGTCACTGCCATGCATTATTTATTCTATTTTAGATTATAGAATTCTGAAATTGATGAATTATATTTCTATTAAAGGATTTATGTGGCACCTGATTGCCAGCATATGGACACAATGTTTGTTGTTGCTTAATACCTACTATTAGATGTACTTATTAAGAACATGATGATAATGATGATGAAGATGATGATGATGACAACACTGTAGAAATGGAAAAATCTGACTCCAAAATAGGGAGGAATACATAGTCTTGAGGTAACTTAGTCTTGGCTCTCTGTTGAAACATTTAACAGAAGAATTGATTAGATA